CATTCGCTGGCTGGGGAATTCTGGGAGTTGAAGTCCGGACATCTTCAAGTTGCCAAGGTTGAGGAACACTGCTCTAGGGGATGGTACCGGGTTTCTCCAAAAATAACATTGGGTCTTATGGTCTTTTGATCCCTGAAATAAGCGCTTGGCCTTATTTTTTAGGAGGTCCTATTATTTTTGAGGTGCAGGAGGCAATGAGCATGGTCACCTCATGGTTGCTGCTGTGCTGCAATATTTTTGGGAGGGCTTATTTTCATGGGAGGACTTATTTTAGCGCATGCGCTCAAAAGCCCAATTGGGCTTATTATCCGGGGAGGTCTTATTTTCGGGGAAGCAAGGTATTCATCTCCGGCTCAAGGCCATTGAGCCACTGCTGCCTGAAGACGTTTCCATAGTCATGTGATCAACAAGACTATATGCTGAAGCTCATGGAATGCTGCTACCTAATTATCTACTCATATTTGCATGCTTTCAAACTCCTAGGTTGGCAGGAGCTGGAGCAAGGAATGGGACCTTGCCCGTCACATGGCGCTCAGGCCTCGAACCTGGGCTGTCAGCTTCACAGCCGACAAGTCCAGCAATTTAACAGCTGGGCCACCATGCCAGCCGCCTCTTTTTTTTGTAATGACCCATTATAAATTGGAAATTAAACCTTTTCATCCCAAAGAAAGAACACATAATTTCTAGCAAGATACAATAACTTATTTTTTTTTCTTTTGCAGTAAAACTGTTTGCTGCTGTCTTTTGATGTTTAGTCACCATTTATGCCATTTTAAACAGTAATTTTCTTCCAAGTGTTAACAGACCCAGATGACTGGCATTGATCTCAATTTCTTAAAAGCTTCCAACGTTCTTAAGTCTTAGGGCACACCCAATCCACACATGACTTGATTAGGTGAGACTGAAGGCTAAAATATATAACGAATGGTTGCTGGAATTGAGTATGTCTGGTTTAATGAAAAGAAGAACTAGGGGTGACATGATAGCAATGTTCCGATATCTCGGGGGCTGCCACAAAGAAGAGGGAGTCAAGCTATTCTGCAAAGCTCCTGGGGTAGGACAAGAAGCAATGGGTGGAAAGTAATCTAAGAACTAGAACTAAGGAGAAACTTCCTGACAGTGAGAACAATTAATCAGACGAATTAAAACAATTATTAAATAATTAATCAACTTGCCTCCAGAAGTTGTGGGTGTTCCATTAATTTGACGTTTTTTAAGTTAAATTGTGGAATGCCCCAACATTGGAAGTTTTTAAGATGATGTTGGATAACCATTTGTCTCAAGCGGTGTAGGGTTTCCTGCCTGAGCAAGGGGGTTGGGCTAGAAGATCTCCAAGGTCCCTTCCAACTCTGTTTATTCTGAAACTAGGAAGGAGAGATACCCCTCCAGAGGGTTCCCCTTAATTCATCCTAAAGGCGTCCTAAGAGAGGGGTAGCTGTGAATGAAACCAAGCTCTTGCAGTACCTGGCAAGTCTCCCACCGCTGGAGCCCGGCATACAGGAGATAAAATCCTCCAGGAAGGACTGCTCATTGCTCTGAACTTGCAAGGGCAGCGTTCCTTCAAGGGCTTCCAAGATACTCGGGGAGTGAGACAAGGCGAGCCCTTTACCCAGGATGCCCGAGTGAGATTTACACACCTGGGAGAGATGAAAAGCAATGTTACCTACTGAAAGCAGCCTTCAACCCCTTGCCTTTCCTAACAAGATCACTTCAACAGTAAATGCAACTATGGGTGATATCCCCCCGCCCCCTATATTTTACTTCTAAGAAACCAAGCTGCTGCAATTGTTGACAGTGATGACATACTTCAAAAAAATTGAATAAATAAATGTTACAAAATCTACTGCAATGACTTCACCGCTGGCATTGATTTTAATGCCAACTCTTCATGGGGAGGTGCTCTAAAATTCCTTATAGTGGTGTCTGGAAATGGCCTTAGACGGGCTCAAAACGATCTGAAGGGTGCTTTTTGGGAGTGGGGGGGGGCTGTACAGTAGTCAGAATGAGCCATGGTGGCGCAGTGGTTAGAGTGCAGCACTGCAGGCTACTTCTGCTGACTGCCAGCTGACTGCAATTCGGCAGTTCAAATCTCACCAGCCTCAATATTGACTTAAGCTTCCATCTTTCCGAGGTGAGTAAAAGGAGGACCCAGATGGGGGCAATATGCTGACTCTGTAAACCGCTTAGAGAGGGCTGTAAAGTGCTGAGAAGCGGTATACAAGTCTAAGTGCTATTGCTATATTGCAGGCCCATTCTTTCAACTGCAGAAACTCAGATCTGTTTAAGCTCCCATTGGCTGACTTAATTGCTATGCCTATTCATTGGCTGACCTTGTTCCCATGTCTCTCCCAAGTCATGAATATTTTAACACAGTTCGATCCTGACCAGGCTAAAAGTTGACTCGGCCTTCCATCCTTCCGAGGTCGGTCAAAGAAAGACCCAGTTTGTTTGGGGTGTAGGCTTAGCCTGCAAACCGCTTAGACTAAAGGGTTGTAAAAGCACCGTGAAGCGCTATTGTTGCTATTTCCTTGAGGCATTCTGCAAAGAAGTGACCTTTCATGCAGCCACCCTCCCAAACCCTGGTAGGGTTAATCATTTCACCGTATCCAGAAATTCTCTTTGTGTGCATAACAGAAAAATACAAGTTTGATTCTGAAAGGAACAGATAATTGTTTGTATGGATGGGGTCTAGAAAGAGAAGCAGACATGGGAAGTCCCACGATCCAAGGGGGAAGGACAGATCTGGTCTACCTGCAAGGCCGCCTCTTCCAGCATCTCAAGATCTTCCTCCAATTCATTGCCTGTTCACAAATAGGAAATAATGACACAATGTCAAGATATATTCCGAAAGGATACAGACCCTTTTCCTATGCCCCTAATATTTTTTTATAATTTATTGGTTGACCAATTTATATGGTTGCTCATCTCACTGATGGAACTCTGGGCAGCAAATCAGGAGGATGAACCCATGAATCAAGATCAATTAAAAGAAGCAAGTCAAGACGCCTTGCAAAATCCCCTCACCCACACAGCAACTTTAGGGACATTGGGCTCCATTAACATCCAGGCCCAACTCTTGCCTTACTATTCCCCCCGCCCCGTGCCAAATCTCCCCCCCTCCCAACAGATCCTTAATGGATCACCTACCAATAGGAAGGACCAGATCCTTTTTCATTAGAGCTGCAGCGCAGGCGCCTCCTAGGTTGGCCAGCTCTTTCTCAAGCTGAACAATACCCTTCAAACGAATAAAAGAGATGAGGTAAAAACTCTTAATTTAGGTCCACCCGAAGTCCCTCACACAAGATGGCCTAGATCAGGGGTGTCAAACTCAATGTCAGGGTTTCAAGTAAGACCCCCCCAACAAAAGAAGACTCCGAGGTCTAAAGTTCCTCAAAGTTCCATTTTATTAGAGATGTCATATTGGTACATCTGAGAAAGCCTGAACCTGAAAGTTTCCAGGTTTTCCCCATCCAAGTGAAAGTTCAAGTCCCTGCCCAGCACCCACATGTCCATCACATTGCCCAAAACTGGAGATGCCTCCCAGTCACACCACTGGAGCTGCAGGGCAAGGTGTCCTTGACTCTCTAAGAAAGGAATGTTATTTAGACTATATATCTCCCATACTCCATATAACCCTCCCCCTCCCATTTTCCCACAGTAGAAAATGTGGCAGGCCTGAAGGCCCAAATGTAAAAGATGGCTTCCAGGCCTGACGCTCAAGATCTGTGGGCCAGATGTGACCCGTGAGGTGCTTAGATCTGTCCCGCAGGG